GTAAATTAATATTAAAAACTAAAAGCTGCAAAAATATATATTTTCAAACTATTTGTCAAATTTAGTCTAATAATTGAAAACATGGATGAAATAAGAAACATGACACAAATAAAATAAAACACATACAAAGCAGAACACAGCTAAATGTTTCAAAAGCATGTCTATGTAATATTAGAATTTTCTGAAACAATGAATTTTGGTTTTTCATTTTTTTCCCCTGTAAGAGGTTTTTATTTAATTGAATTTTTGGACAATAAAATCGCAATATATCGCCTTGCTTACAGTATCGCAATATATCGGGATATATCGCATCTTGACCCCCTGTCATGATATGTATCGTATCGCCAAATTCTTGCCAATACACAGCCCTATTTTTAAGTGTTAAGATGCTTAATGTTTTTTTCTCTTGGTCTAAAGCAGTAGTTCTCAATTCCGGTCCTCGTGACTCACTATCCTGCATGTTTTGGTTCTTTCCCTGCTCTTCAGCATGTCTTTAAGTTCTGCAGAAGCCTGCCAAACACTCATTAATTTAGATCAGGTGTGCCAAAGCAGGGAAACAACTAAAACATGCAGGATAGAGGGTCACAAGGACTGGAAATGAGAACCATTGGTCTAAAGGTATTACCATTCTTTTTCATTTGTTTTGAGATACTGCCTGGCACAATTCAATAACTTCCAGATAACATTACTTCACATCCTTCTGCTTTTTTAACTTCTGCTTGTCACCATGACCCCAGTTTAACCCATCAACAGAGCCAAGCTCCTGCTTTTTCTCTTCGGAGGATTCATGGGACAGCACTTCCTTTTGTCATTTTAGTGTGTTTTAGTTTTCCTGTCTCTTCCTGGCTGCTCCTCCTCTTTAAAGCAGCATGTTTAATTATAAATACACCCAGATTATAAACTTGTTGCTCTGTGTAGGTGTGCCCATGAAGGTCTAGTAGACATCTTTGCATTTGCTTTAGAAAGACTACATGAACAAAACTCAATAAATGTTTATTTTCAAGAGAACCAAACCACCACTTTCTGTCTAAGCACAACCACACATTTTGTTAATACTCCTACAGGGATGTGGTTCCCCACATGCTGTTCTTTAGGTCAATTTATAGCAGCAAAGAGACTCATTAGGCAGTTGTGCTGGTTCATTTGTTTCTTTGATGTGTGTGTGTTTAGCACAGGATCTTTTTTGCAGTTGTTCTCAGTCCTTAGCAGTGATTGTCTGATGTGGTGCATTACATCCACCTAACTGAAACGTACTCTTTTGTTGTGTCTGTTTGTAGCTCTTTAAACCTAATAATTGTTGAATTGTTCATTTTATTTTTCTGTTGTATTGTTTCCTTCAGGTCAGGTTAGGTTTAAATTCTTAGGTGTTCTGTTTGTGTAATGACTGACTTTTTTGAGTTTTTGTGTGCACAGTTGTGCTCCAGGCTTTTTGGGAGAGTACTGCCAACATAAGGACCCTTGTCAGCCCTTTTACTGCCTAAATGGAGGGAACTGCTCCGTGTCCAGTTCAGCTGGCGTACCTCTACCTGGTAGCGCCACCTGCACCTGCTCTCTCGGCTACACTGGACAACGTTGCCAAACCCGTCAGAACTCCACATGTTACCCACACAACCCATGCGCCAACAAAGGTGTCTGCACCCTGCTGTCCCTCGACAAGTATAGGTGCGAGTGCACCAGAGGATGGACAGGTGAGACATTATTTAATAATACCATCGTAGTGTACTTGACACTTTTTAAACCCCAGGTTTTCTTTCTGACTATTAGAAGATCTTATTTTAGCTTTTGCAGCTTCAAAACATGGAACTCTAAGCTTATATTCTCTATCTTTAGTCAATACTTTCATCATGAATATCTTCAGTTTAAGTTTGCAGGAGGTTTATTTTTTTAATAAAACATGGAGTTAATTTTGTGATCAGTACAAATAAGTAATCTATCTTTGTCATTTGAAGTTATAGAGGTACAACAGTAAACACTTGTATTATTCCCAGGTCCACGCTGTGAGGCAGAGGACAGTTGTCTCTCCAGTCCCTGTGCCAACGGTGGAAGGTGCAGCTCTCAACCTGGTGGTAGCTACACCTGTTCCTGTCCTCCTGGCTACAAAGGTCCTCGCTGCCTTAATGACACAAATGAATGTGCAGACACGCCCTCTCCATGCCAGAATAAAGGCGTGTGTGTTAACACCCTTGGTTCCTATAAGTGAGTTTACATTGATCCGTCCTGAACAATGTTGCACTTTAAATATTTTCTTAAAGGCTATGGAATGGCAGATGTTTTCTACAAACGCTGAAGGAATTAATTTAATAATATGTTTTGTACTTTTGCTACAGGTGCACCTGTACACCAGGGTTTACTGGTAAACATTGTGAAAGCTTGTACACCCCTTGCTCACCTTCACCGTGTCTAAACGGAGGCACCTGCCACCAGAGCTCTGAAACCACCTACTCATGCCACTGTCTTCCAGGTAGGAGGATTTAAGTCAGCAGTGATCTGCCTTCAGCTTGAATGCTAAAACGTTAGTATAATATTAACTCGTTAAAACGTGAGCCTGCCACCACATACTGTATTCTGTGAGCTGTAGACATAGGGGGAGGAAGTAAACAAAAATAGKAAGTCTCTTGCTGATATTTATGTATAAATAAAAGTAGTGTTTAAGGTTTTGAATTGTAGCATTACATTGTTTGAGGTGCAAACAGTTTAAAATTCTGGCYGAGCTGTATTAAACACATTTCAGTCTGCTAAAGGTAGACACAAGCAGCTGTTTATGTTGTAGCAGGACACRTCTTAATACTTTATACTAAAACAAAATGTACAGTATTATCCATCTGCCCCAGTGGAAACATAGTACAAGACAAAAAAAGATTTATTTCTACTTTTGTTATCACCAGGCTTCAACGGAACGAACTGTGAGAACAACATTGATGACTGTCCTGGTCATCAGTGTGCTAACGGAGGAACCTGCATAGATGGAGTTAATACCTACAACTGTCAGTGTCCTCCAGAGTGGACAGGTGAGAAATGTTCACAACTGGTTTTATCTTATTCTCTTTTAWTTTAACACTGGTACAGTTTATGAATGTTAAACACAAATGTTATCCTGAAATATGTTTAAACACAGCATTAGCATGTGTTTTAGTCCTCAGTGGTTCACCTGCATAAACAGCATATTTAGTATATATTTTGCATGTTCTGATATTCTGTGTATATTCTGATCACTTTCTGTGCCCCTCTGAGGCTCGTACTCCACACAAGGTGTGTCTCTGCTTTTGTCCTAATGCTTCTCAACAATATGAACATCTAAAAAAAGTAATAATAAGAAGTTGCGTTGGTCCTCTAGATAAGTTCTTTGTTGAAAAAAATATTTCGCCTCTCCTTCAAGGGACTGCTTTTGTTTACAAAGTAAACATGCATCGACAGGGCCTGTTTTGGTTTGTGCTGGATGAATCCACCGAGTGGAAATACACCACGCTTAAAGGCACAGTGTGTAGGATTTTGTCAATTCTTTTAGCCAAAATTGAGATAATCACTAATGACAATAATAAAAAACATGTCTAATCATTGCAGACAAAGACCTTGTTTTATTATTTTTACTTTATAAAAAGCTGTTTTTATATCTCCATGGTCACGGGTCGCCACTACAG